TTTAGGGATGAGATCATAGCATACACTGTGTTATAGACTGGCTTTACTGTGAATTAAGTTTTAGTGTTAGTAAATATGTGAACACAAAGTGTGTGTTTGGAGGAGACCTTGTTTTTTGGTGGAGAGAGAAACTACACAACAATTCAGGTCTTCATTGATTCAGTACTTGATTATTGAGTGGAAGTGTTGTTGTATTAAATATGAAGTTCACTGCAAACAAGTTCTCAAAGACTGGTCTTGAGTTTAGGAGTAGAGGAGAGTTTGTATTGTGTTTTGGTTGTGGTGTTTAAGCGATAGACAAATCTTATAGTATTCGTGATTTGCAGCCAATCTTTTTCTTGTGATTAATTATTTAGTTTGGTTTTTGTTTTCATTTAAAACATTTAAAATTGTTCACTAATTTCTATTGTGGAAAACTATTAAAAGTGATTTTCTCTTTCAAGTAATTAAATGCTTTAAATGTAATGATTAGATCCGATTAGATATGAATCACGTTTTGCATTAATTTTGTCTTTAATCTTATTATACATTTAGCGTTCATTTTGCGAAAAGTGAGTGATTTTACAATATATTTAAACATTACTTTTCACGACTATTAGCGGATAACAGTTACAATTAATGTTTTATTTATAGTTTATTTAATTTATAATAATGTTATCTATAGTCTGTATTTACATATAATTAGAGTACAGTTACACTGTTTTTACTTTTATTTTACTTTTGTTTTGTTGTTGATTACGATTTTGTTATGAGTGGAGGTATTTGTGTTGAATTCCTAAACATTTTTCACACAAATATCACTTCAATGTAATTGTATGTGTTTTTTGAGTGTGTGGTTATAGTTATAGTATATAACGCTTACTGTCTGTCAAGATTTGGCAATTATTTAGTGCATTATCTTATGGTTTAATCATAAAGAGGTTAAGATTAGGCATAAAATGTGTTTCACTTGTTTGCATACTTATCATTAGTCATATCCTGTGCTGTATTTTGTCCGCTAATTTTCTTATCTCTTTTAGTCTAAAATGTTATATAAAGAAGTTATCATATCTGCGAATACACCCGAAAAAATCGATGCTTTGCTTTTTATGAGCACTAAATAGCGATCATTTAGTTGTCATTCATAGCGATTTAATTTGCAATACATATAAATATAATAAATTCAATGCAATCACACTATAAATGACTTTATTATTAGAAGTCCAACGACCTCTTCGTGAAGAGAATGAGTTTCAAAGTTATCCGCATTTGAAAACTCACTTCAAATGAGAGGTCTTTTAATGGTTTTTGTTTTTGCTGTTCATCTGTCGCTCCTATTATATAATATTATAATAGATGGCAAAAATCGCTAAATAAATACCTGTTCTTTCCTTTAAAAATCCAATACTTTTCTCCTTTTTGACTCAAATAACAAATTTGTGTAGTATTTCAGACACTTATTCATTACACTCTCCCTTAACTCTATAATATGTGAGCATTAATTGAATCCTTAATTGATTAATAGCTGTCTTAGAGAATGTCTGGAGCGGAGCAGCGGAATGGCGTGACCTCAGAGCCGCGGTTCGATCTGGACGACCCCGAGTGCCAGCGCCAGATGATGAGACCGCCAGACATCGAACAGGACATGAAAGAGATGGACCGCCGGAAACGGGTTGACATGATTATGAACAGTCAGGTGTTCAGAGAGGAATTGGAGCGTATCATTGAATCGCAGCTAAACGAGGGCTATTTGCCGGCCAGTCTGTCAGCCCTTCAACAGGTGACTGAACTTTTACTGCCACACTCGGCGCGCGGCTCATCCCTCTCCAGACTCGGTCACTCAGGGATGCCTATCAATGACATCCGAGGCATCGATGGCTTTCGTTACGCTAAGGGCGAGAAACTGCTTCGATGTAAACTCGCGGCCGTCTATAGACTAGTAGACCTCTACGGTTGGTCTGAAGGCATCTATAATCACATTACTGTATGACTTGTTTCACTCATTAATTATTCATGTAATGATTGAATTATTGAATATTGTGTTGCATATTACAGGCGCGCGTCAGTCAAGACACGGAACATTTTTTGTTGAATCCATTTGGCCTCCAATACCATGAAGTGACGGCATCGACACTCCTCAAAGTGGATATGCAGGGAAGCGTCATCGATCCGGGATCTACTAACTTCAGTTTCAATAGGTATTGCAATGCAATGAAATGCAATCGTATTATATCTCTAATGTTATATTTGATTGATTTTTAGGGCCGGTTTTGTGCTTCACTCAGCCATCCATTCTGCGCGACCAGACATTAAAGCAGTCATTCATTTACATCACTCCCCATGTGTTGCTGTCTCTGCTATGAAGTGTGGACTTCTGGCCGCCAGTCAAGAGGCGGCCATTTTAGGCGAAATTAGTTATCATGACTACAATGGGCTGCTAATAGATCCTGAAGAACGCGAACAAATTGGTCGCAATTTGGGAATTCACAATAAAGTAATTCGTCTTAATTATGCCATTTTATTAGTAAGTGATAACTAATAGACTGTAATTACAAACAGGTATTGATTTTGCGAAACCATGGGGTACTCACATGTGGAGAGACGGTTGAAGAGGCGTTATATTTGATGCAAAACCTGGTTATTGCGTGCGAAACACAAATAAAGCTAATGTCGTGCGGTATTGACAACATTAGGATCATGTCGGCTGAATCCATAGAACAGGTTCGTTCAGTTATCAAAGCCGCCGGCACTCAAGTCCAGGGAAAGCCCCCCTCCACTGATGACTCGGTTGTGGCCGCAAATCCTGAACATCACGAACACAGAGAGAAACTCAAGAAATGGAAAGTTTGGGACCTGGAGTTCGAGGCACAGATGCGAATGTTGGACAACGCTGTCAGTACTTTCACATCACAAACAACATAACATGAGTTTTATTAATAACATTATGTTTTGCAGGGCTTCCGTACGGGTTATCTGTATAGACAGCCACTGTTGAGAGCAGACCAGCCGCGCACTAAGTACGACGTGGAAGAGCCGCCTTCCGCTTCATCGTTGGCCCACTATCTCGAAGAAGACAAATGGTTGAGTCCATTGAAGAAGTTGGTCGAAGGCAAGCGAACCCAAGACAAGCTCCGTTGGGTTAACTCACCGAATGTCTACCAAAAAGTAGAAGTTTTGGAGTCGGGAACCACTGATCCTAAAAAGATAACTAAGGTTTGAATGAATTGATTGATAGATTTTTTGAATGGTTAAAGGATTTGAACGAATTATTTTATACTCATATATACTTATTAAGCCTAATGTAATCTCGAATCTCACTTTACAATCAATTTTAATTGTAATCGAATTTAATTAATAAATACTCAAATATATATGTAATTGAATGTAATCTAAATGTAAATATATTTTAATGATATATTTCCCAAACCCCACAGTTTTGTGTTAAATAAATAATTTGACATAAATTGTGATTTTATTGAACTTTTGATTTGATTTTTAATAAAACAAATATTTTTTCGTTTTTCTCCGCTCTCGTAGTGGGTTCAGGGCTCTCAGGATGGGTCACCATCTCATAGCACTCCCATCAAAATAGAAACCCCCCATCAGTTCGTTCCGGTCAGTCTCGATCCCAGTGAGTTCAAGAGAAAACAGAAACAGGTAAGCATTGACTCGTCGTTGTTGTTGTCGTCGAATCCAAACTCATGTCCAGTGATGTGATCAACAGATGAAGGAGGTTCGCATCCAAAACAAGATATCCAGTGGACCGCAGAGTCATATACTGGAAGGCGTCACGTGGGAAGAGGTGAAGCATATGAACGAACAAAAGTCGGGCGATCAGGTGGTGTTAGTGGGCGCCGCCTCTAAAGGCATTATTCAGCGCGAGTATCAGCACAACGCTATGGTCTATAAGAGCGCGTACGCCAAGAATCCATTTGATAACGTGACCGAACAGGAGATCGAAGACTATAAGCAAATTGTCGAACGAAAGCAAAGAGGAGAACCAGGTTTGTGCTCAACATTTTCATTCACACTTTACCCGTGTATCTAATTGTGTGCCTGTTTTATATGGCGTAACAGTGGATGACGTGCCCGACAGTGTCCGTCACTTACTGATAGAGCCGGTCTCTCTGAACCAAACCACACAAGACATCACTAGTCCTACTTCTCCCACATCTCCACTCTCTGATGAAGACGGTATGTATTGGCGGCTAATGTTAGCCTTTAATTATTTGGGATCAACTCTTTGGTGATTTTGGCGCAGCTTTTTATTATAAGAATATTTAAGTCCCACTTCTTATTATAATCATTGAAACAATATTTTGATTTCTCGCAAAATTCAGGCAAAAATTCTATCATTTCAAGTGAACCAAAAATAGTGATCACTCCTTCATGTGATGGTTAGTCAAAATAAATACAAATAAATTGTTTATTTGTAAATCTAATGTAAACCACACTAACGATAGTGTTGTGTAAAATAATAATAGAATTGGAATTTTGCCTCAAAATATACTAACCGCTCGTCTCTAATGCACCGCTTCCTCTGTTTTTTCATTTCACTTCTAACTAAACACTAAAATCTACACATAATTGCATGAAATATGTATTTGTTTTTCTCTTGAATAGAGTCTATATCTAGCAATAATCGGGTGCAACGGTCGCACTCGGCCCGACTCGCAGCACAAGGTGTGTAACAATAATACATTTGACTCAAAGTGTTGTTTTCTCTTTTAATGCTTACCTCTAATGGATATCAGAGTTTTCTGAGTCTCAGAAAACTATTGAAGGTATAAAACAATTCATATAATTAGGCGTTTTCTTAAACCATAGCAACTATACTGAATGAAAGCATAGATTTAAGTTTAAGTGTTTATTTAATTTGAATTTTTATTACATCTTAAAACACAATTTTTCTTTACTATAGTTATGAATTGAATAGTTTATGAATTATTTATTTATTATTTAAAATGTGTTGAATTTTGATTGTTTTTTATTGTTTTTGCATGAATTATGTGATTGATATGTATCCGCACGTGTATTATAGCCGCTGAGGACAAGTTCTTTTCTCGAAACCGCTTTCGGTCTGAACGCAAACCAAATAAACAGAGCACTAGTAAGTGATTACACCATGTCTTGCATTCTTCTCAAACCATTCAATGGTTTTTATTTTGTTTTAATTGTTTGGTTATTGACAATAACTTATTGTAATAAATGTTGGTTTATATTGTTTTTGCCACTAATATAACAATTATAATTATGGATGAAAAATGTACAAATTTAACTACTGTTGTAATACGATATTTAATGCACTGTAGTGTCAATTTACAACAAAATACAGTAGTTTTTAATGTGTTATACATTTGCTGACAAATAATGCGATTATTATGGATGAAAAATGTACAAATTTAACTACTGTTGTAATACGATATTTAATGCACTGTAGCATCAAATTATAACAAAATACAGTAGTTTTTAATGTGTTATACATTTGCTGACAAATAATGCGATAGCTTTGTTGTGTATAAAACATGTATTAATTGAATTTATGAACCAAAAGGTGATACAGCCGTCAACGGTGAAGATAAATTGGGTGACTATTCTGGTGCCTCCAGGAGTAGCAAAGAGGTATGTATTGTGTGGTTGTGTTGTGTTTGAATGGTTGACTGATGTTGTATTTGTTGTTGCATTTGAAGGGCTCTCCTGTGAAAGAGTTGGAGAAATCGAAGAAAGACAAGGATAAGGATAAGAAGGACAAGAAGAAGGGGATCCGAACCCCGAGTTTTCTACGCAAAAAGAAACATAAGAAGGATAAGGAGAAGAATGAGGCATAATATTAGAGACAAATATAAGATTTATTGCATTTGAAATCCATTAATAAATTGAATGCTTCGCTCATCTTTTGACGCAAAGACTGCCACAGCTTTTGGACACATTGTTTAGTATTTGTTTTGAAACATTACTCCATATTCTCCTTCAAAGTTGTATTAATATATTTGGATTTATTGCTCATTAAAAGTGTGTTATATTTATGAACTAAAGAGAGGGAGGCTTTCGATAAACGCTTTTATCGAAAACGATGTCTGGAATCGAAATGTTTTAGTATTAACTGCTCGAAGGAGACGACAACTCACTTGTTTTCGACTTAGAATTTATTTAAAACAATATTTTACAAAATAAATAATATATTTTCCAATTGAATACTTCTGTGCGATTAAAGGCGACAACATTTAGGAAATTCGTTCATTTAATTCAAATTTTAGTAGACTTTTAATTAATTACGATTTTAATGAAATTTCTTAATAAACTAAAGAATATATTATTATTATTATGAATAATGAAAACAAATTTATATTTAAATTTCCATTTGGACTCTATTTATGGGGAGAAAATCCGCAAAACTATTGTAAATACACTCCAAAAGAATACACATTTATTTCAATCAATTTTGTTAAAACATTTTTTTCGTGCGACGAGTTTTAAAACAAAAATTATTTAAAAAATCCAATGCTTTACATGTCTTGAAGTTAATGTTATAAACAATTATCTCATTTGTGTTTGAAATGAGGGTTTGTTTTTACGGAAAGTATAAAATTTGCGATAAATAAACAACAAAACAGATGTACTTTATATTAATGATTATTAATTATGATTATATAATTTAATGAATGAGATGTAAAAATAGGCAGCTTTTATAGGCACTGGTTGTGTGAGGCCAGGGCTGCTCTGTTACCTGAAATACATATATTTGAATGTAGTCCTCATTATTTGTGATTTTGAATTCTATTATAATATGACATCAAATCAAATCTAATTTGTTTTTTCCTTTTATTTGTTAGATTTTTTCCAATTTATTTAATTATCTATTGATTAAAAATCATTTAAATTATGTATAAGTTATTCACTATTTTTTTCTTAAAGTCATAACAAAATACAAAACAATTGGAAAAACTGTTTGCATTAGTTTTCATTTGATTTTTGATGCGGTTTTTGATGAAAAAACAAATTTAAATAAAAATATTTTAAAATTTGTTCGGAAATAAAAGTAATTTATTAATATTTATTTAATTTATGTCTAATTGTATTTAAAAATACTGATTATTATTATATTGAATGAAACGCTTAACAGCATATTCTTGTGACTCATTCTCTTGTGTTAAAACTATATTTGCATTTAATTGTGTTTTTGATTTTAAACAAAACTGAGAAAATACATTGTTTTGCAATTCAAGGCCCAAACAATCACTTATTCATTGCCGTTGGGATTAATACAAAGTACCAACAGTTATGGTGTTTGGCTCTTCATGTCCTCCGCCTTTCCAGTTCTCACTTATGGTTAACTCCAATGAGATATTAACCAAAATCTCATTCAATCACTTTTTTCGTTTCAAATGGAGATTAATTAATGTGAAAGTATTGTATGTTTGAAGCGCTTATGTGTGTCAACACGTCTCCTTTCATGTAATCTATAATTATTGCAATTCTTTTCCATTATTTTTATTTCAATTTCTCTTTTTTAAGGCAATTGTTAGCAGTTTTTTATTGTTGGCATTAAAAGTGAATTAAATTCCCATTCAATACAAAGTCTGCATAAAATGTATTTGTAATTTAATTTACCATAAACTGGTTGAGTGGCGACACCAAACACTACAGCCATTAGTTCCCGCTATATATTTACATTTAATCACGAAATTGCATCAAATGTTGTATAATATTATGTTTGAATTGAATTTACCTGAATATTATCAATATATTTATATGTTTACACAACTATATCGTAACAACTATACGATATAAATTATATCATATAACTTTATATGAATACACATTTCGCTGTAAATACAATAATTTCTTGTTTAAAAAACATACTTCCCATGAATTAATGGGCGGATTCCGGGTTTCACATTCACATGGAAGTGGAGAGCAATCAATTGATTAATACTTCGGATTCGCACCAAAATGATGGCCACCGAAGAATTTATAAAAGACGATGGATTGTCTTAATTATTGTCTCATTAATTAATATTTGCAATTCTGGGGTCAGTTTTACAACCATTACTAACATTTTGATTATTATAAACACAAAACTTGAAATATATTCAATTTTTGTAGTTTAGCATAAAATTTGTAGTCATTTTTAGTTATGATAGGTATGGATATCATTAGCACCCGTAGCCGATAGGGCGGCCCAATTCTATGGGACCAATTCAGACGGCATCGATCTCTTTTCGTCCATATTCTTCATGTCTACGATTGCCATCGGATTTATAACCATTTGGATTGTGGACAGGAATGGCCTAATGCTCGGTGTAATACATATAATACAATTAAAATCAATGAAACACACTATATATTGAACTCGTTGTTAATTTAGATATATTTGGGAGCAATTTTGAACGCATTTGGTATAACTTTAAGGACTTTAAGTAGTGCTGAATTTGTTGTGAATTCGTTGTCTCTTTCGCTACGAATGCAGTATATAATAGCAATTGTGGGCCAAATGATTGCCGGTTTAGGTCAGCCTTTCGTGTTGTTTAGTCCCACAAAAGTGGCTGAACTCTGGTTCCCAACAAACCAAAGAGCTTTGGCCACAACTATCACCGGAATGTCTAATCCGATGGGAATTGTTTTGGGAACTATTAGTTCGCCAATAATTGTCACCGATTTTTCCAAAATTCCAACCTTGGTAATAGTTTTATAACTATTATTTAAGCTTTTTAAATGATACTTTAAGTCTCAATTTAGAGCATATTCTGGTGCATACCATCGGTGGTCACACTCTTAATGACCATTGCATTTGTCAGGTCCTCCAAACCCCCCACACCTCCCAGTAATAGCGCAGAAGTGATTAACTCAACGCCTTATTTCACGGCAATCAAAGAGGTATTGAAGATATTCTTTAAAAGCAAAAACAAAAACTTTTAAAAAAGAAAATATTTTCACCATTTATTAAATTTTTATAGTTATTAAAACTAAAAGCATATCTAATGCTATTGTTATACATGGGATGTGCTGTCGGAATGTTCTCCGCTTTCATTACACTTATTGAACAAATACTTCGGAGCAAACGATATGACGATTCCTTCTCCAGTGTTTGCATTGCAATAATGATTAGTTCGGGTCTTATGGGCGCCGCTTCTGTCAGTTATGTGGTCGACAAGAATAAGAGATACACGACAGCAATGAAACTATCCATTGCTTTGGCAACTCTTTCAATCATTGGATTATTAGTATCACTTAA